AAAAAAAAAAAAAAAACAAAACTTAGTCTGTATATACTGTATTTTGAAAAGCAAAATTTATATTCCGTAAGAGCTATTGCAGTATAAATTTTCAAATATTTTGTGATCAATTTAATAATATCTGTAATAAAAATTACCTCTTAGCCAAATGGAGAATCAGGTAACCATCCAAAGTCTGGATCAGCTCTACAAATCAGACCTATGCATAAGTGAAATAGACAAAATAACGGGTTAGATTTTGAAGAAATGGGTTTTAGCTAGTTGATAGGTATTGTTTTTGTTTCATTCTATCTGCCTCCATTATTACCAGACACTCCTCAAGGAGATAAAGTTACGTTATTCCCTTGACTTTTTTTTTAATATTCAATAGTACTTTAAACTCAGGAATGAATACTTTTAAGATTTCACATATATATGTGTGTGTGCATGTGTATATAAGTATGTATGTATATTTGACTCTATAAACTCGATTCTCATTCCTAAAACCAATTTGCTTTGCTGGTAATATCACCTAAAAGGTCCTTTCTCCCCTCTCTATTCTCCAGTTTTTACCAGTTTCATATCTTCTATACAACCTTTCCTTCAGCTTCTCCAGGCCATATCGATCTTGTCCTACTTTGGTCTTCTTACATACATACTTTTTGTCCTACTCAAAGTTATCCTGGTTTGAAGTATTCTCTAGTTGTCAGGTATATGCTTTTCTTTCACTAAGAGCAATAAGCTCCTTCAAAGCAAGAACTGTTTTATTCATTACGTTTCTACCTGACTAGCACGGTGTTAGGCATGTAATAAATGTTTGATAAATAAAAGCTTACTGAATTGAACTTTTTAATTTAATCTTTAAGTCAGCAATGCAATACATCTATTTTAGGATATATTTTTAGTGTATTTTTGACTAAAATATTAGATTTTTTTTTTCTTTCCAGGTCCGTAAACTGCAGCAAAAAGTTCAAAACTCAAAGATGAGTGAAGCTTCAGGTATTCAGCGAGAAGACATCTACCCTAAAGGATCAAAGAACATAAAAAATAGCCCCAGAAAATGTTTGAATGAAACTAACGCTTTTCAGAAAAACAACAACTTTCATCCAATACGAGTTCATAATCTTCAAGTGAAATTGAGGAGAGATGATATCATGTGGGAACAGTAACACAATAGCAAAACTGTCACCTTAAATGAACGTTGTCAATGAGATCTTGAATTGTGTAAAGCGGTTTTAATTTAATATACCTTTGTGAAATTTTGAATTATGTTTCTAGCCTCTATAAAACATGTAGTATTTTTAAATTAATACCTAATGACCTACTAAGAATCCCAAATAATAAATGGTTGCTTTTTTATTTTTCTTATTAACCAAAGTCCCCAACCTTATCATGTCTTAGAACTTTGTTCAATTTGCAAATATCTCAAGCTAAATCTAAGAAACTATACTAAAATTAACTTAAATCTGAGCTACAAGTACCATTCCACTTTTTTATTTAAAATGCTTATAATCTTAAGAATTAATGTTAAATGAACAGAGTACAGAAAGGTCTTTTAATTTTCCTGGTGTTTTTCCTGGTGTTTCCTCCCTATCTTGTTTTAAAGGTAAGAAATGTTTTTCTCTTTTGGAAAGTGAAAAGTATAATAGTCCTACAGTTTTGTGAAGAAGCTTTTAATCCATGTTTTATGTGACAATTACAAATAGGAACCCATAAACTTAATTTTTAGGAGGTAAAGTTATAGTTATTTCCTCAACTTACTGTCATAACTTCATTGCAGAAATTTTCCTATGCTATTCTCATTATCTTTTACAAATCTAGTTTTTTAAATACCAGTGACTTATTTTATCTTACTTTATAACTTTTGATGACTTTTATTCTTTGCACTGTGTATAATGTTCATCCATGTAAATTGAGACTGAATTTAGGACCTACAAAACTGATACATTTTTGACAAGAAAGTATAGGAAGAAGAAATTGGGCATTTAATTACCTTATCCAGCAAAAATTCAGGGAAATATGGTACATTTTTATTTTTTATATTTTAAAATCAATGATGTCATAATAGATTTCTTTGTGTATACATGCTTTATAATAAATTTGCACTTGTTGACCTGTCACTCCAGAAGTCTATAGAAACTAGTATGACTCTTCTGTACTCTTGGTTTCTCACTCAAATCCTCTGGAGCAGCTAGAGAACTGGAGTCATCAACTGAAGTAGAAATAGAGGACAGGCAGAAGAGGTGTAATAGAAGGGAAGAGCTCAGAATATAGGATAGCAGTTTAAGAGATGGTGATTCCAAAGCGACAGAGTTAGACATACATGTTTACTGATTCTCTGAATCCACAGCGGGCAGAAGTGTTCAACATACAGGTGTGAAAAAACTTTTAGGTCAGGATCTCAGGAAGCTAAGAAAAGCAATTTTTTAAAAACAGTCTTTCTTTCTGTTTTCCTAGGTAATTCCCAAAAAGTGTGTGTAGGAGAAAATGGGTAATTGTGGACCTTCTGGGGAGAAGGAGAACTGTGATTCATTCTAATGGTGAGAAGAAATGCCATGTTAGAAGATCTTTCCATACCTGGAAATGGGGAGGTGACTGAAGATGGGCAGATTGATACTTGGAATTGTCCTTGAAAGTAATTAGTGGCAGAGATGAAAGTTTCTGTCTTTCTGGTTTAAATAGTACATGTGCCCTTTGCTGGCTTTCACACCCCCTCTCCCATAAGCTCCTGACACCCGGAGATGTTCCAGAGGGTGTTTCATCTGAACTCAGTTTTATCACCTCACCTATTTTTCTACTTTGCCTTTCATCCTTAAGGATATGAGTTTTATAGTTTAAACTTATCAAAAAACCCACCAGGTCCATAATACAGGCCTATATTTCTGTGCCTTTGTTTTCTGTGCACTTAGGGAACTGAATATATTCGGTTTATCAATAAAGCCATTACTTGTGAAGATGTATTGCTAAAAATAATTACCATAAAAAATTTAAGTCACTTTAGGAACACTTGCATATTTCAATTAAGAATTGAGAATTCTCTCAGCAAAAGGGTTGACACTTAAAAACTCAATAAATGTTTTTTGAATCTGAATGACAAAAAAAAAATTGTTGTAGAACACATGTTTGCATGGATTAAAGCCTAAAAAGCAAACACCTAAATATATTCTTAGTAAAAGTGGGAATATTCTAATTTATTTGGGTCTTTTTTTCTTTTTCCTTGTGTCTGGAGAGAAATTTCTTTGGCTTCTTTCCTAATCCAGGTTTCTAAAGGGTGGAGGTAAAGAATACAGTTCTACCATGGTACAGAAATACATAGTCATGTCCAGCAACTTGATTTGGAGTCTGTTTTGGTTGCTGAGGTGACATTTATTAGTGAGGCACAATAAATAATGGTGTCTTGGTGCTCCATTACAGCAACTGAACTAAAAATGTATCTCTGCCTGCTTGCCAAGGCCTTTGACTCCTCAAGGGGTGGAGCAAAAGATTTCTTTCCTGGATGGGGCAGTCCATGGTCAGTGTACAAGAGTTGCTATAGCAACTCCACAGCTGTGCTCTGCCTAGTAGAAACTTGGTATGATTTCATTGATTTTGTTCACTTAAGTGAAAAGCAGAGTTGGTTTTTTATTTAATTAGAAATTGAAAAAAATGGAGTTTTCTAGCCAAGGGAGCTCTCAACATTGATGAAACTGTGAAACTAGAAAGTTCCAGTGTTTGAAGCAGCAGGTATCGTGAATATTCTAATACTGGAAATGGGAGTTGAAATCTTGAATTAACTGTATTTGGGTGGATCATTGGCAACCCAGCCATTTTTATGAGGTTCTAGCTAAACATAGAAAGGTTGGAGGGAAATGTTCAGTTTTCAACAATGTAAGTAAGATTAAAATGGGAGATACTTAGTGTAGTAAACTGGCTTTTTGTAGCTTTATTACTTTAAAAGTGTAATTTAAACATAAAATAATATTCTTAATGTGTGACAAAATATCAAAAAATTAAATAAAAATTTGACACGTAGAGATCAATCTAAGGGAGAAAAGTCTGGTTGGTCATGCACAATGGAAGGAGTGTATGTTGTGGCCAAAATTGCACCAGCTGCCATTATTGGTGTAGAGCAAATAATGAAACTCCTAATGGGGTTTCCTGGAACTCTATTCAGCTGTAACTAAACCTTTACCTACTGAGAACGCTTAATTTTATGTGAAGTTTAGATAAGTATAAGCTGACTCCCAGACATGGCAAGACAAACCTCTCTAAGGCATAATAGCATCTGTGAGTTTTTAAAAAGGCTCTTTAGAGGTGCCATTACACTTTTTAATTAAAGTGAGATGAGGATAAATAAATAAAAATAATATTGACTGTCACTCATCTGAAAATAAATTTACTTCTTGGAAATTAAATAGACCTTGTCAACACCTCAGCCTTTTTTGTCCTATCTTATCTACTTATTTTCATGCACTTTCTCTTTCAGTTCCTTTTTTTTTTTTTTTTTTTTTTTTTGGTATTTTGTCATGTAAAGAAAATTAGACATAGAAAAATATAAAGTTAAGGCTTTAAAATAATATCTGGGTCACAGAGTTTGTTTTTATTATAGCTGTAGATTAATTGTCTACTTGAAGAATTAGGTGGGGTTTTTTTCCTGGTGGGTTTACTGGGAGTGTTCTTATTGGAATAGATTCATTGAATTCCCATTTGGTGTAAGATTTTACTAAATGTCATAGCCAACCATTAGAATTATAAATTACCACTGTACCACTGAAGAAATTTATTTTTTATTATATATGCATGGTCTATTATGTAACTATGTATTTAACAGTTATAGGAAAGAAAACTAGAGAAGAAAATTTATCTCCTATTACTGTATTCTCTGAGGCAGGTTTGTGACAATATAAGACTTGTTAATGACCAGTTCAGCAGTCTGGTTCATGAGCTGGAGGGGGAGGGGGATTCGGTCCAGGGATTTGGGGTTGTGGGAAGAATGTTGGGGATTATGAGTTGTCTGTCAAAGGACAAGTAAAAAGTTCTATGAGTAATATAATCAGCTTTCTAGAAAAATCTTTTAAAATAAAGGTGGTGTTATCCACCATACTCTCTGCCTAAATTTTTCCTTCTTTGTCTTTGCTTATCTAGCTTTCCCTCATTCTTCAGGTGTCAGTTTATATCTTCCTCTAAGAAGTCCTCTTTAAGCCCCCTCTCATTCCACTGCCTCCTCCTCAATCTGGTTTAGAGGCCTCTTCTAGGTATTTCCCCCTATCTTTTCACTTGGCACACTTTCTTGTTATTATTTGTTTGTCTTCCCCACAGATTGAAAGCTATGTGAGAGCAGGGTGCTTTCTTGCTTACCACTGTAACCCAAGTACCTAGCACAATACCTAGCCCCAAAATAGCCTCTCAGTAAATGTTTGATAATTATTCTGCATGAAAATATATTAACCTTATTTGGTGGTCTTATCTAAGTGAGCATATTGGATTGGGTACTCCTGTTTCAGGCACCAGTTCAGCTGTTCTACTGTATGGCCTTTCCAGGATATGTGACCACATTTTACATAACCACAAATTAAGAAGAACCCAATATTATTTGACTGGGCACGGTGTGCTTTCACAGACAACAGGTACTCAGAATGATGCTTTCTTTGATATTATGATGCCAAGGGTTTCTTATTTGGATATTGGTATGTTTGACTTGCTTATTCAGCAAGTATTTATTTATCTCTAATAATCAAGTATTGATCTCAGGAAACTGTGCTAGATTCTATAGGAGATTCAAAGACATATTATGCGTAGATTCTGTCTTCAAGTTGCTTATAGTCTGGTAAGGGAGATAAGACATGTATATAAGTTAAAAGAGGACAATAGGTGCCATAAGAGGTATAATGACCACCACAGAGCAGATGCTCAATAAATATTTGCCTACTATAATAAATGTTTGTTCTCATCTATTGATAAAGTGCTTTTGGAGTTAGCCTGTTTGTAATTTCTTCATTCTCTATCTTCATTTATATAGCTTTCACTTGCTTTTTTGCCTGGTAGCAGTATTTATCTAGGATTCTCACTCTTCATTAGGCTTGTTCATTGAGATACCAGTTCATTTAGTAATTCCAAACATATGCTGTCTACAACCAGTCTATAACTAGTATCAAATTCAAAGGCACGAGTGGAATAAGTGGGTATGAAACAATTAAGTAAATGGGGAGAAAATGGGGAAAAATCAAGCAATAATGACTTAGACTAAAACATAAAAATAAGATATATACAGAAAAATTGTATTCTAGAGGCCAGTTATTGACTTGCACAGAATTATGCAAATGATTGCTATTAATTTCCTTATGAACTTAAGCCACTCAATTTCCTTATACTTTGGCTT